AAGAAAGAAAGAAAGAAAGAAAGAAAGAAAGAAAGAAAGAAAGAAAGGGGGCGGGAGGGAGGGAGAAGGGAGGAATAGAAAGAAAGAGAAAGAGACAGACAGAGACAGAGATAGAGAGAACCAGAAGTCTGGAAAGGAACTCTAGAGGTCTTGTAGTCCAACCCCTGCTCGAGTAGGAGACCCTATAGATATGGATAAACAGACGGATAGACGGACACAGACAGACAGGCATAGATTTATAGAAGGAGAGAGAGAGAGAAAGAAAGAGGGAGGGAGGAAGAGAGAAGGGAGGAAGAGAAAGAAAGAGAGAGAGAGAGAGAGAAAGAAAGAGAGAGAAAGAAAGAAAGAAAGAAAGAAAGAAAGAAAGAAAGAAAGAAAGAAAGAAAGAAAGAAAGAGGGAGAAGGGGGAGGGAGAAAGAAAGAGAGATAAAGAAAGAGGGAGGGAGGGAGAAAGAAAGAAAGAGAGAGAGAGAAAGAGAAAAAGAAAGAAAGAAAAAAGAAAGGAAGAAAGAAAAAAATGAAAGACAGAAAGGGAGCGGGAGGGAGGGAGGGAGAAGGGAGGAAAAGAAAGAAAGAGAGAGAGAAAGAAAGAGGGTGGGAAGGAGAAGGGAAGGAGAGAGAAAGAGAGAGAGAAAATCAGAAGGCTGGAAAGGAACTCTAGAGATCTTCTAGTCCAACCCCGTGCTCAAGCAAGGGAGACCCTATCCCATTTCGGACCAACTACCATCCAATCTCTCCACAGATAGAGCACCCACAACTTCCGGTGGCGAGTAGTTCCCCTGGCTAAGGATTGTCTTGGTCCAGAAACTTCTACTTGGCCGGATGGCTCTTGGCGGATCTCCGCTCCCTTGACTCCCCACCCCATTCAGCCGAGTCCGCACGGATCCTAAGCCCCCCATCCCCAGGCTGGTCCCAACCAACCAACCCCGCCCCACACGGGTAGACCATGGCTTAAGCTACCAAACCAGCTTGGTTACAAGTCGCCGGGAGCTACCCTGCAGCTTCGTCCCCTAACGGTGGGGGTCCAGCCCCCTCCCCCCAAATACTCACCCCTGTCCTGCAGGGAGGACGGGGCTGCTGTTCCTGCCAGCAGGTGTAGGGTGCTTTGAGGTGGGAAGTGGGGGGAGGCAGAGATCCAGCTGGACCCCCCCAATCCCTTCCAGAGCCTTTTTGAGAACCAGCCTCAAATTTCCCTGCCTCCAGCGGGGTCTTTTATAACATACGGAGAGGTCGGGGGGGATGTGGGCGATGAAATAGGAAGGAAACTGACTGGGTGATGTCCAGCGCAGAAGGAGTGGGGTGGGTGTGACAAAGAGGAGCGGGTTTATTTATAGAGCTTTCAGGAAGAGGCCCGGAAGAGCTCAGGAAACTTTGGCTGGGCGCTATTGGTGGATGGGGGTCTCTGCCCCCCCGTCCCCAGAGATTAGAGCTTCACACACACACACACACACACACACACAGAGAGAGAGAGAGAGAGAGAGAGATCCTCAATTCTTCTCTGCAATTTGTTATAGATAGATAGACAGACAGACAGACAGACAGACAGACAGAGCGATAGATGGACAGACCGACAGACTGATAGACCGATAGACCGATAGATAGACCAATAGACAGACAGACAGACAGACAGACCGATAGATGGACAGAATGACAGATCAATAGACAGACAGGCAGACAGACCGACAGACAGACCGACAGACAGACAGACAGACAGACTGATAGACCGATAGACCGATAGACAGACAGACAGACCGACAGACCGACAGACAGACCGATAGACCGATAGATAGACCGATAGATAGACCAATAGATAGACAGACAGACAGACAGACAGACCGATAGATGGACAGACTGACAGATCGATAGACAGACAGACAGACAGGCAGGCAGACTGATAGATCGATAGACCGATAGACAGACAGACAGACCGACAGACAGACAGACAGACCGATAGACCGATAGATAGACCGATAGATAGACAGATAGACAGACAGACAGACAGACAGACCGATAGATGGACAGACTGACAGACCGATAGACCGATAGACAGACAGGCAGACAGACCGACAGACAGACAGACAGACTGATAGACCGATAAACCGATAGACAGATAGATAGATAGATAGAAAGATAGATAGATAGACCAACCGACCGACCGACAGACAGACAGACAGATAGACAGACAGACAGACAGACCGATAGATGGACAGACCGACAGACCGATAGACAGACAGACAGACAGACAGACAGACACACACACACACACACACATATAGTCCTTGATCCTGGTTTCCTTGTATTGTGGGGGGCCAGAAACGCCTGTGGGGGAAGTGGGTGGGGGGGGTGCAGATCTGGGGGGCCTGGGGGGGTGGGGGGCTGTGTGTGTTGGTCTGAGTGCACACGTGTAAGATGTGTAGAAGAGGAAGCACCTGCTCGCATGAGAGCATTTCCTATCGGGCAGCTTCCTGGTTGTTTGGCCGGGAGTTTTTTGGGCCCTCATCCCAAAGATGAGGTTTCGGGGGTGGGGGGAGTAGGGAAGTTTGGGCCTCCGCCGGATCTGCCGTTATCCGTTACTAATTTGGGGGCCTGGAATACATGAGGTCATTGGGGGAAATGAGGGGAGGGTCTCTGGACATCATCCATCTTTTCTGGCGACAACGCTTAAGCTTTTCTCCACATTGGGAAGTTTCAAACGGGTGGACTTCCACTCCCAGAATTCCTCAGTCAGTGTGATTTAAGTTGAATGGACTTCAGCTCCCATAATTTTCAAGCCAGCATCCTTTAAGATGGCCAGACTTCAAATCCTAGAATTCTTAGCCAACAGGCTTTAAAATAAGTGGGCCTCTATTCCCATAATTCCAATAATTAAGATGGGTGGACTTCAACTCCCAGAATTCCTCAGTCAACGTGCTTTAAGATGTCTGGACTTCAAGCCTGAGAATTCCCTAGTGAGCTTTATTTAAGATGGCTGGACTTCAACTCCCAGAATTCCTCAGTCAACGTGCTTTAAGATGGCTGGACTTCAAGCCTGAAAATTCCCTAGTGAGCTTTATTTAAGATGGCTGGACTTCCACTCCCAGAATTCCTTAGTCAACGGGCTTTAAGATGGCTGGACTTCA